TCAGATTCTGACACCATCCTTGTCCTTGTCCTCATCCTCATCCCCATCTTGTCTCCATCCCCATCCTCATCCCTATTCACACCCCATCCTCACCCTCATTCCCACTCCATCTTCATCCCCATTCCTACCCAATCCCACCACTATTCCCATCTCCATTTCCACCTTGTTTCCAAATCCATTTCCACCGCTATCCCTATTCCCAGCCCTATTCCCACCCCATCTCCACCCTCTTTTCCATCATATTCCCACCTCCATTTCCATCTCCATTCCCACTCCATCCTCATTCCCACCCCCATCGTTCCCAGTATTCCCATCATTCCCAGTATTCCCAGTATCCCGCCCTCACTTGACTCGGAAGTCGTCGGCCGCCAGCCGAGCGTTGTCGATCTGCAGCACCGTCCGTGCATTCTCCACCATGCTCTCCAGGATCTGGGACGGGGACACGAGGACACACGTGCATACAGGGGACACATGGACAGGGGGACACACAGGGATGCGTGCAGGAACAGGGACATGTAAGGACAGATGGACACACGGGGACACGGACACGAGTGGACACAGGGATATGGGGACTCATGGGGGGTGGCACATGGAGGCACGGACATGGGGAAACATATGGACATGGGGATACACGGATCGGGGACATGTGGAGGGACACATGACATGAGGGGACATGGGCGGACACACACAGACACGGAGACACACGGACAGGTGAACGTGGACACGGAGACACACGGACAGGACCAGGTGAACACATGGGTATGGGGGGACAGGTGAGTGGGACACATGGATAGGCAGACATGGGGACGCACACAGGGACACGTGTCACCGTCACCGTGGCAGGACGATTTTCCCGGCCCCCCTTCCCTGCAGGGCCTCGCCCCGGAAAAGCTGCGATTACCCAGGGTGGGGGCGGGGCGGGGGGGCCCTTGGGTGTCGGGGTGGGGGAGGGGTGCCGGTCACCTTGAGGAGGCTCCGGGAGGGGCTTTGGGGATACTGGGGGGGGGGTAATTTACCCAAAAATAGGGGTAATGGAGGAGAGGCTCCTTCGACGCTGCCCCACCGCTGTGGCCTTGGTGACGTGCCTTCACCCCACGCAAAAACGGCTCCGCGGGGAGCAAAGCCCCCCCACGCCCCCCACCCACGGGGACTTACAGACCTCCCCCATGGCTCCCTATACCCTCCCAGGCACTTACAGACCTCCCACAGACACAAAGTTCAGCTCTTTCCCTCTCCCTCCTCCGTTAATGTTTAACCCCGACCCCCCCCCAGCCCCCGCGCCCCCACCTTGTCCCGCAGCTCCTCTATCAGCTCCCACTGGGGGCTCCAGTCGTGGGCGCTGGGCCCCTTTCGGGCCATAAACTCCCGGATTTGGGTCTCCAGCCGGCGGTTCTCCTGCTCCAGTCGCCGCACCTGCTCCAGGTACGTGGCCAGGCGGTCGTTGAGGTCCTGCATCGCCTCCTTCTCGTTGGCCACGGCCCCGGAGCCCCCCAGGAGGACGCTGCCCCCCAGGCCGGCCCCATAACCGGCCCCATAGCCGGCCCCATAGCCGGCCCCATAAGCGGCGCTGCTCAGGGTGCGGGTGACGGAGATGCGGGACCCCGCGCCCCCCGCTCCCGCGTACACGCTGGCGGCGCTGCCCAGCGGGGCCGAGCGGCGGCCGGGGCCGGTCCCGGCGGTCCCGAGGGTCCCGAGGGTCCCGATCCCGCCGGAGCGGGCGGAGCTGGAATAGACGGTGCGGCGGGAGAAGCTCATGGGGACGGTGACACGACGGCGGGAGCCCGAGAGCGGCACGGACGGACGCACGGATGGAATTCCGGGCGGGAATTGCGGCCGGGATTTATAGCCGGGAGCGGCCCCACGGCACCTCCCCACGGCCTCGCTCCCGGGAGGGGAAGGTGCGGCTGGAGCCGGCCCAGGGCTTTGTTCCCCTGAGGATCGGCCCCAAAACTTGGAGAGTGGGGTGGGAGGGAAAACAATCACCCCCAAAACTCGTGGGATGTGAGATAAAAGTTTGGGAGTCTGACCCAGAATTGGGGAATGCAGGGCAGGGGAAAGGGAATCAACCCCAAAACTTGTGGGGTGGGGGGTGAGTGGAAAGGGGTATGATCCAGAGCTGTGGGGTATGGGGTGGAGAGAATCAGCCCCAGAACTTGTAGGGTGAGGGTTGGAGAGATGGATGTCTCATCCAGAACTTGTGGCATGTGTTCAGAAGGATGGGATTGACCCCATCACCGTGGGGTGCGGGCTGAAGGAATAGGAGATGGCCCCAAAACTGTGGGATGTAGGGCGAGCTCAGCCCCACATATTTTCGTGTCCCCATAGTCAGCCCCACATCACCCTACTGACCTTTTCACTACTGCAGCCCCTGCCTGACCAGAGAACCCCTGTTTTACCCTGTTCCTACACTGTTTTGCTCCATTTTGCCCTGTTCGTGTCACATTTACTAATTTTTGCCCACTTTTGTGCTATCCCTGCCTTGCTTTATCTCATTTTTGTCCCATTTTTGCCCATTTCTCATTTTCCCCATTTCTCCCATTCCTGCCTCTTTTTGCTTCATTTTATTCCATTTATGCAAAATCTTCCCATTTTGCTGTTTTGCCCCATTTTGCTGTCTTATCCCATTCCTGTGCCATTTTACTCATTTTTGCCCTATTTTGTTGTTTTATCCCATTCTTGTCTCACTTTAACCTTTTTTGCCTGATCTTGCCCTGTTTTATCCCATTCACGTCCCGTTTATCCCTTTTTGTGTGATTTTGCCCCATCTCTGTCCAATTTTGCCGGTTTTCCCCCTTTTTTTTTCAGTTTCTGCCTATTTTGCCCCATTCCTCCCCCTTTTTCTCGCATTTCCTTTCCCCCCCATGTTTTTCTCTGCTTTACCCCATTCCTTCCCCTTCCATTCTCTTTGTTTTGCCCCATTCCTGCCCAATTTTTTCCCATTTTCCCCTGTTTATGCCAAATTTTATCCTGTTCTGCCCCATCTTCCCCCTTCCTCCCCTTTTTGCCCCCCTTTCCTCTCTTTTTCTCCCTTTTCCCCGCGGGGCCCCCGAGGGTCCCAGGAGGTCCCGCCCGTGGTCCAGCGGCCTCGTCCCTCTTTGGGGACCCCCTGGGACCCCCTGAAGGGCGCGGGGGGAGGGGTGGGGGTGTCGGGGCTGCTCCCACCCTGGGCCTTATCGAGAACATTCCGGGCATTCCCGGTGGGTGATGTGTCCCACCCATGTCCCCCCGCCTCCCCCCCCCCGGCTTCCCCCTCTGTCCCCCGGTCCCCCATGTCCCTGTGACCCCCCGGTGTGTCCCTCCCGTGTCACCTGGGACCCCCCAGTGTCCACTCCTCGTGTCCTCCCGTGTCCTCCCCATCCCCAAAACCCCCCCACGGCCACCCCGTGTTCCCCCGTGTCCCTCCGTGCCTCAGTGTCCCCATCTGATGGCGAGGGGGGGCTCAGCTGTGGGGCCGTCAAGGGCTTAGGGGGTCCCGGCTGCTCTTTGGGGGGACTCGGTGGTCTTGGGGGCCTGGGGGAATGTCCTGCAGGGTCTGGGACCCGCCCTACCCCCCTTCCGAGCTTATCTCTGGGAATTCCTTCCTGATAAGACGGGACGGGCGGATTTGGGGAGGGAGCTGGAGGCGGTGGGAGCCTCTGGGGGGTGGAGGGGGGAGCAGATCGTGGTTTGGGGGGACCTCGAGACCCTCCCTGTGGGGCTGGGCTTCTCAGACCTATGGCACCCCCCCCCGGTGGAATCCGGATGGGGAAGGGAAGGGAAGGGAAGGGAAGGGAAGGGAAGGGAAGGGAAGGGAAGGGAAGGGAAGGGAAGGGAAGGGAAGGGAAGGGAAGGGAAGGAAGGGAAGGGAAGGGAAGGGAAGGGAAGGGAAGGGAAGGGAAGGGAAGGGAAGGGAAGGGAAGGGAAGGGAAGGGAAGGGAAGGGAAGGGAAGGGAAGGGAAGGGAAGGGAAGGGAAGGGAAGGGAAGGGAAGGGAAGGGAAGCTCTAGATTTCAACTCCAGGATCCCAAACCCGGGTGCGACTCCCAGGCTGTGGGTGCCGCCCTTTCAGTGCCCGGCGTGTGCCGCCCTCGTGCCGGGCAAGTCTGGGCTGGAGGCACCACCGCACACACTGGCACCTGTCAGACCCACCTGCACACACCTGAACTCACATCCATCCATCCATCCATCCATCCATGCATCCATCCACATCCATCCATCCATCCCATGCCTTTTTTGGGATGTTTTCCCTATTTTGCTGCTGAGTTTGGCACTGGGGACAGGCTCTGGTGAGGCCTGGGGACAGGTCTGGGGCCAGATTTGGAGTGATGTGCCTGGAGTCCCATGTTGTGATCTGGGGACAGGAGCTGGGGACAAAGACTGGGGGTCAGAGGTCGGGACACAGGGTTGGGGTCGGGGTTTGGGGTCTTGGATCTGGGGACATGGGCTGAGGACTCAGAGCAGGGGACAGAGACTGGGGTTCTGTGTTGAGGGACATGGGGCTGGGGACACAGTTTGATGGCCTGCCAAAGTATGGGATCAGGGATGGGGCACATGGGGATGTAAGCTGGGGACAGGGATTGGGGTCAGGGATTTGGGACATGCTGCGGGAACATAGTTTGAGATCCCAGGATGGGGACAGGGGCAGGGACAAAGATTGGGGGTCAGGGGTTGGGGACATGGGCTGGGGGAATAGTTTGGGGTCACAGATTGGGGATGTGGTGCTGGGGACACAGACTGGGAGACACAGTGGTGACATTGATCTGGAGACCCAGACTGGGGGACAAGCTGGGGACATGGGCTTGGGGACTGAGACTGGGGGGATCTGGATTGGGGTTGGGGGCTGGGGACCCAAACTGGGTGGATAGGACTCGGTCACCTAGAGTTGGGGACTCCGATTGGGAGACCCAGGTGTGGGGACACGGTGGGGACAGGGCTGGGGACACTCCCTAGGGACACTCGGTGGCTCTCTTCCCCCAGGAGGGGGTGCGGAGGGGGGCGGGGAGCACCGGGACCCACATTTTGGGGTACGCCCACCCCCGCGTCCCCGGGGTGGGGACGAATCCCGGTGGTCTCGCGAATCCCGTGTGCCGAAGGGGTTAAAGCTCCGGTCCCTCCCCGCGTTTCTCCTCCCCCGGCTCTGGGGTAAAGCCGAGAACCGCACCGGGAAGGCGCCGGGAACCCGCCCGGCCGCTCCGCGACCCGTCGGGCCGGTCCTGCCGGGGCCGCCGCCGCCCTGCCCCGAGCGCGGCCTTCGGCCTCGTCCTCCTCAGCCTCTCCAGCCTGCTCCAGCCGTCCTCATCCTCCCGAGCCTCTTCAGCCTCTCTCAGCCGACCTCCTTCAGTCATCCTCGGCAGCTGGGGACGTTCTCCAGCCCTCTTCCAAACCTGCGCCAATATCCTCATCCTCCTCCTAACCTCCTCCGTCCTTCCTGCAGCCTCCTCATCCCACTCAGCCTTCTCCAACACTCTTCCAACCCTCCCTGACCTTCTTCATCAACTTTCCAACCTCTTTCCAAACTCCCTCCTATCTCCTTTCCCAACTTCCAACCTCCTCCCAGTCTTCTGCAGCTTCCTCATCCTCCAGCCGACCTCCTTGTTCCCACCTCCCAAACGCTTCCCAGGCTCTCTCCAGCCTCTTTTCCCCACTTTTCGCTCCCAGATGTCGGTCTCCATCCCCCGGCAGCCGCTGCGGAGCAGCTCGGCCGCTCCGGGCCGTTCCTTCTCGTCGCGCTCCTTCACGGCCGGTCCGGTGCTCGGTCCTTACGGGGGGCTCCGTGGCGGCTCCGGGGGTCTGGGGGGACCCTCGTGGGTCCCGGGGGCTGGCGGGGGCATCACGGCCGTCACCATCAACCGGAGTCTCCTGGCGCCGCTGGACGTGGCCGTGGATCCCGAGCTGCAGGAGCTGCGCCGAGAGGAGAAGGAGCAGATCAAGACCCTCAACGATAAATTCGCCGCCTTCATCGACAAGGTGGGGCTGGGGGGACCCCGAGGAGGGGTGGGATCACTGTGGGGCCTTCTTCTGGGACCTCCTGGGGCACCTGGGACATTTTGGGACACCTGAGGACATTGAAACCTTCCTTGGGACCTCCTGAACATCTTTGGGGACTTCCTGTACCCTTGGGGACATTGAGACCTTCTCTGGGACCCCCTAAGTCTCAGCTGGGATGTCCCGAGTACCTTTGGGGACCTCCTGAGACCCCTGGGGACACTGGAAAGCCTTTACGGGTACCCTTCAGGGACCCCCTGGATCAGCTGGGGTGTCCTGAGCACCTTTGGGGACTTTCTGAGACCCTCAGAGACATTGACATCCCCCTTGGGGACACCTTGACCCCCTCCTGACTTCCCCAAGGACATGCGGACTCCAGCTTGCTCCGGGACCCCAAATCTGCCTGCCCCCACCCTTCCACTCCATGCCCCCCTCTGACCCAACCCGTTCCCCCGGGGCTGATTTGGGGGTAATTTTGGGGTTCTGGCTCCCTTTTCCTCCTTTCCCCCCAGGTGTGATTTAGGGTGGAGATATTTTTGGGATGATTTTGAGGTATGGGAGTGCCCCTGACCCTGCTTTTGCCCAAGTGTGATTTTGGGGTGTGGGGGTTATTTTGGGGTAATTTGGGGGTGTGGGGTGATTTTAAGGCGATTGTGGAGTATGGGATGTGGGAGTGCTCCTGACCCTCTTTCCCCAGGTGTGATTTTTGTGGTGATTTTCTCTGGTTTTGGGGTGCTGTTCCCTGTCCGCAGGTGCGGTTCCTGGAGCAGCAGAACAAACTCCTGGAGACCAAGTGGGGGCTCCTGCGGGCGCAGCCCCCTCCCCGCAGCGCCCTGGGGGGGCTCCTCGAGGGCTACGCAGGGACCCTGCGGCGGCAGCTGGAGGGACTCGGGCAGGAGCGGCAGCGGCTGCGCGCAGAGCTCAGCCACGTCCGCGGGCTCGTTGAGGAGTTCAAGGCCAAGTCAGTGTCCCTGAATGTCCCCCCTATCTCCTGGGTACTCTCCCCAGACCCCTCCACAGCCCCCCAGTATCACCTCATAGACCCCCTGTGGCTGCTGATGCTGCCCGGGCCATGCCTGCAGCCTCCCAGAGGAATTCAAGGGTCATATCTGTGTCCCCGAGTGTTCCCCCACGTACTCTGTGTCCCCATCATGGCCCTTCATCCCCGTGTCCCCCTGTCCTCGTGGCCCTCAATGTACCCACCGTGTCCCTGGGTCTCCCTGTATCCTCCTGTCCTGACATCCCTGGTCAGAGTTCTCTCTATGTCCCCACATCCTCCCAGCGCCTTGTCCCTTTGTCCCCCTGTCCTCACCATCCCCTTGTGTCCGCATGTTCCCACGTCACCCATCCTCATATCCCTCCCTGTCGCCATGTCCCCCATTCCCGTACCCCCATGTCCCCCATTCCCGTACCCCCATGTCACCCCATTCCCATGTCCCACATCCCCCCAGTTCCCATCCCCATATTCCCCCTGTGCCCATGTCCCCCATGCCCATTTCTCCATGGGGAAACGTGTCCCGCCCATCCTTGTGTCCCTCTGCCCAGGTATGAGGAGGAGATCAACCACCGCACAGAGAAGGAGAACGAGTTTGTCCTGCTCAAAAAGGTGGGGGAGCCCCGACACTGAGGGGGGACCCTGACACGGGAGGAGTCCCTGAGACCAAGGGGTTGCTGGGGGGGTCCCTGGGGGTGCTGGGAACAGAGGGTGACAGGGGTGTTCCCTTAGGATGTGGACGAAGCCTACATGTCCAAGGTGGAGCTGGAATCACGCCTGGAGAGCCTCACGGACGAGATAAACTTCCTGCGGCAGCTCTATGAGGAGGTTTGGGGGTGCCGGGATTTGGGGTGCCTGGGATTTGGGGTGCCTGGGATTCGGGGTGCCTGGGTGCGGGGGTGTCCCCCTGCTGACCGTCCCCCCGTGTGCACAGGAGCTGCAGGAGCTGCGGGCGCAGGTGTCGGACACGGCCGTGGTGGTGTCCATGGACAACAGCCGCCAGCTGGACATGGCCGGTGTGCTGGCAGAGGTGCGGGCGCAGTACGAGGACATCGCTGGCCGCAGCCGTGCTGAGGCTGAGGGCCTCTACCAGGTCAAGGTCAGGAGAGCACGCCCTGCTGCCGCCCAAATCTTCATCTTCCTCCTCCTCTTCCTCCTTTCTGCCTGCTCCCCAAACCTTCATCTTCCTCCTCTTTTCTCCCTAATCCTTCCTCCTCCTCTTCCTCCGGTACTTTCCCCTCCTTCCTGCTCCCTAAAACTTCCTCCTTCTCTTCCACACCCTGAGCCTTCATCCTCCTCTCTGCCCTATCCTGTCTTCCTAATTCTCCTCCTTCCCGAGCTTTTCTCCTCATCCTCCTCCCTGCTTCTCAAGTCTTCATTCTCTTCCTTGCTTCCCAATCCTAGTCCTAGTTCCCAAGCCTTCATCCTCCTCCCTCCCTGCCCCATCCTCCTCCTCCCCCTCTCTGCACCTCAATCCTTCTCCCTCCTTGTCCTCCTCCTCCCTGGTCCCTGAACCTTCCTCCTCCTCCCTGCCCCATCCTCCTTCTCCTTCCTGCTTCCTGAAACTTCCTTGTCTTCCTCCTCCTCCCTGCCCCAAATCCTTCCTCCTCCTTCTCCTCCTCCTCTTCCTTCTCCTCATCCTCCTCATCTTCCTCCCTGCCCTGGAGGGAGCAGGTGCTGTGTGGGAGAAATTCTGGCTTGAAACTCAACTGGAGCTGCCACATCCCAGCCTTGGGTGTTCCCCCTGGCGTGGGCTCGTCCCAGTCCCGGAGTGCCGTGGGGCAGGGAGGGGCCCCCATCTCCATTCCTGGTGCAGATCCCAGTGCCAGTACCTCCCAGGCTCCTTCATCCCCCATTTTGGGGTGATGGTGGAAAGTGGGGGGCCTCATCCCCAACTGGACCCACATCCCAGTGAGAGCCGCCGTATCCCAGCTGGTCATCCCTCCCAGCATCGCTGCATCCCAGCACTTTCCTCGGAATTTTTGGGGTGCTGTTAGAAAAGTGAGGATCCCCCCTCCTCATCCCACCAAGACTGACTCCAAACCGGATCCACGGCATCCCAAGTGCAGCATCTCTCCTGGTGTGGCCACATCCCAGCTCTGTCCTTCTTGGTTTTGGTGTGCTGGGGAAGAGAGGGGTCCCCTCATCTCCATCCCCCTGAGATCCCAGATCCCAGTTGGAACATCCTTTTCATACAGGCAAATCCCAGTTCTTTCATCCCAAATTCTGGGGTACTGGGGAAATAGAGGGGTTCCTCCAATCTCCATTCCCCCAAGATCCAGTTCCAAACCCAACTGGACCCACCAAATTCTGACTGGAGCTGCCACATCCCTGTCAGGGCATCCCTCCTGCCTCCACCACATCGCAGCTCTTCCCTCCCAGGTTTTGGGGTGCTGGTGAAAAAGGGGAGTCCTTCCATCTCCAGCCCCCCAAGATCCTAGCCCCAAATCCAGCTGGACCTACCACATCCCACCCTGGACTGTCCCTCCAAGTTTGGCCACATCCCAGCTTTTTCCTACCAATTTTGAGGCACTGGTGGGTTTGGGGGTGCCCCATGTTCCCACCCCTGCCTGGTGTCTCCAGTATGAAGAGCTGAAGACGGCGGCTGGGAAGCAGGGAGACGACCTGCGCCAGACCCGGAGCCAGATCCAGGAGCTGAACCGGCGAATCCAGAGGATTCAGGCAGAGATTGAGGCTCTGAAAAATCAGGTTTGGGATGGAACTCAGATGGAAATTCGGAAGCATACTGCCTGCCCCTCCCCCACACATCCCCCAGCACCCGCTGGGAACCCCCAGCCTGGATTCCTGAGGATCCCTTGGGATGTCATCTGCGAAACGGGAGGAGAGAGAGATGGCTTGGGGATTTTGGGGGGGCTGGGAATACTGGTGGGACGAGGGGGGTGAAGCATAGTGGGATATGAGGGATACTGGGGAGTGAGGAGCACTGGGACATGGGGACACCAGACCCCAGAGGATGACAGGACATGGAATACTGGGACACTGGGTATACTGGGACATGGGGACACTGAGGGATTTGGGATATTGGAGACTTTGGGTCACGGGGACCCCGGCCCGGGGGGATCCTGGCTCAGTGTCCCACCCCGCAGCGCTCTGGGCTGGAGGCGGCCGTGGCCGAGGCTGAGGAGCGCGGGGAGCTGGCGCTGAGGGACGCCCGGGCCAAGCTGGCAGGGCTGGAGGGGGCCCTGGCCCAGGCCAAGCAGGACCTGGCCCGGCAGCTCCGGGAGTACCAGGAGCTCATGAACGTCAAGCTGGCCCTGGACATCGAGATCGCGACCTACAGGAAGCTGCTGGAGGGCGAGGAGAGCAGGTGGGAAGCCCTGATCCCAGATCCCACATCCCACATCCCATAACCTCTGGGCATCCACATCTCACCCATGTCCCGTGTTCCATCCCAGTTACCATGCCCTTCATCCTGGATACCACAAACATCCCATACTCCATGTCCCATATCCTGCGAGGACCCCATATTCCATGGGCACATTCCATATCCCACAGACATCCCATATCCCGTATCCTATACCCTGTGGGTATCCCATATCCCATGGATATTCCATGCCCCATGTTCCATATCCCATGAACATCCCAAATCCCCCCCACTTGACCGTGTCCCTTACTCCTCTCCCCTCAAAAACACTCAGTTTGGGGGACCCCCTCCAACCCCCTCACTTTGGCCATGTCCCCTAAATACCCTTCCCTCCCATCACTGCTCCTGTTTAGGGGAAAGTTTTGGGGGACAACCGCCCCCAGGTTTCCCTCTAGGCCATGTCCTTTATCCCCCACCCCATCACTGATCCTGTTTGGGGAACCCCCCCAAACCCAACCCCCCCCAGGCTCGAGGCTGCTGTGCAGAACCTGAGCATCCACACCAAGACTTCGGGATACCTGGGTGAGTTTGGGGGGGGGGTCTCCAGAACCCTCTGATTTTGGGTGCCCCCCCACGTGCCCCTCCTCACAGCTGCTCCCTCTTTCCCACAGGTGGATTCGGGGGAGGTTTTGGGGGGGGATTTGGGGGGCCATTTGGGAGCACCATGGTCAGCTCAGGCTACTCGGTGCCACCCCCACCCCCCGAGAGCACGGCCCCCCTCAAATCCCGTGCCATCGTCATCAAGAAGATCGAGACCCGTGATGGGAAACTTGTGTCCGAGTCCTCTGACGTCCTGGAAAGCTGAACCTCCTTTCCTGAGGGACCCCCATTCCTTGGCTCGGCCAGCTGAGCTGAGCCCCCTCTTTCCTGAGGAGACCTTAAATCCTGACCTGCTGAGCCCCCCCTGGGCCCCGCTTTCTGGGGTGTCCCCCATGTCCACACAAACTGAACCCCCCCTTTCCCAGGGGGCTCTTCCTTGCTCCCTGCCTTCCCAGGGTGTCCCCCTAAGTCCTGACCAGGCGAACCCCCTTTCCTGAGAGGGGTTCCCCATGTCCAGCCCAGCTGAGCCCTCCCCCTTTCCTGGGGGTCACTCTGTGTCTTGGGGGGGGTCCCTCGTGTCCAGCCCAACTGAGCCCCCCCTGAGCCTCCCCTTCTCAGAGTGTCCCCCCATATCCTCCCAAGCTGAACCCCCTCTTCTGAGGTGGGAGGGATGGTCCCCCATGCCCTGACATTCTGAGCCCCCCCCAAGTCCCCTCTTTCCCTCCTGGGGGGATTCCCCCAACTCCAGGCCAGCTGAGCTCCCCGAGTCCCCTTTCCTGGGAGTCCTGTCCATGTCCTGGGGGGATCTTTTGGGAGGGGGGTCCCCCATGTCCTGGCCTGCTGAGCCCCCCCTCCCTTGGTGGGTCCCCCCTCCATCCTGGCCCCATTCCCTGGTGGTCCCCAGCTCCTGACAGGACACCAGGCACCCTCTGCTGCCACCCTGAGCCAGTGCCGGTCTCCCCTGGGGGGCTCCAGCCCCCCCACTGTCCCCTCTCGGACTGGGGGTGGGAACTGGGGGGTCTGGGCCTCCCCGGGTGTTCGCTTGCTGCTGGAATAAAACCTTGGCAATTCGGGAGTGTTGATAACTGCGGGGGGAAGAGCTGTGTGGGGAGCTCCTCCCAGGCTGCCTGGGGTGTTTTGGGGTGCCAGGATGATCTTGGGGCACTCGGATCGGTCTGGGCGTGGCAGGTTCCATCTCGGGGTGCCTGGTGTTGTTTTGGGGTTCCCGAGTCTTTCTTGGGGGACTGGGACCAGTCTTGGTGTTCCCAGATCAGTTTTCGGGTCTCTGGCTCTGTTTGGGGGTCCTAGAATCTGTTTTAGAGTGCCAGAACCCATATGTGGCTGCCAGGGCCAAACTTGGGGTGCCTGGCTCCCTTCTTGGGGTTCCAGGACCAGTTTTGGGGTGCCAGGACCCATCCCAGGGTGCCAATACCTATTATGGGTTGCCTGGATCTCTCCCAGGTGCCAGGACCTATCTTGGGATGCCTGGGTCTGTGTCGGGGTGCCAGAACCCATGTGGGGGTGCCTGGGTTTGTTTTGGGGTGCCAGGGTCCCTCCTGGGTGTCCGTGCCAATGTGCCCAAGTTCATTTTTGCATGTCTGGATTTGTTTTGGGGTGCCAGGACCCATCCTGGGCTGTCAATATCTGTTTGAGGTTCTGAGGGTCCCTCCTGGGGCATCAGGACTCTTCCAGGGGTGCCAGGACTTGTTTTGGGACAGCAATCCCTGTTTTGGGGTGCCTGGCTCCGATTTTAGATGCCCAGACCAGTTTTAGGGTGTCTGTGCCCATCCCGGGCTGCCTGGCACTGTTCTGGCATACCAGGACCCATCCCAGTTTTGGGGGGCCACGGTCCCTTCTGGGGTTCCAGAACCTATCTTGGAGTGTCAGGGTGTTTTTGGGGGTGGCTGATTCCATCAGGGGGTGCCAGGGCCCATGTCAGAGTACCTGGCTCTGTTTTGGGGTTCTCGGATTCCCTCGGGGGTGCCAGACCCAATTCCAGGGTACTTGGGTCTGTTTGGGGGTACAAGCACCCACCCTGGGGCGTCAGAGCTCATTTTGGGGTGGCTGGGTCTGTTTTGGAATGCCAGGGTTTGTTTTGGGGTGCCAGGACCCCATTTGGGAGATCTGAATCTGTTTTGGGGTGCCTGTCTCTCCAAGGGGCTTTTCTCCAGGGCCCTTTTCTCTCGGGGTGCTACTGCACCCCAAAACTCCCGGCTGCCCTCTGCGCCCCCCCCCCCCATTTGGGAATGGCAGGGAGGGAGGGCAGCGGCCTAGTTTGGGGGTCCCAGCCCCCCCCCAGTTGGTTTGGGGGTGTCAGGGTGATGCCCTGGGGTGTTTGGGTTTGTGGTGGTAGAGATTTGGGGGCATGGTAGGGGCTCGGAGCCGTTTTGGGGGGCTCAGAGCCCACGGGGGGGAAGGGGGACCCCCCCAAAATCGGCGCTGCCCGTGGACTTTGTCCCCCGTTAATGATTAACCCCACGGGGCCCGGGCGGGAGGGAGGGAGGCTTTGGGGCTGGGAGCAGATCTGGGGGTCCCTCCATGGGTTGGGGGGCTGGCAGCGTCCACAGGGTCTGGGGGCGCTGCGGATTTTGGGGTGTCCCCCCCAGTTCCATCCGCGGGTGGGGGGGTGACACCTGGTGCCTGTAATTAGTGCCAGCAGAGGATTAATTAAGGGGCGTGGGATCAGTAGTGCCCCCCGGGAGGGTTAAATTGGGGTCACCTCCCTGCACCCCCTTTCCTGCCCCCCCGTTTCAACTCCCCCCTGATGCTATGCCGGGTTATTATTTTTTGGGGGGGGGGGGGTCTCCCCGGGGGATCCCCCTAATTTTTAGGGACGGGGGCTGGTTTGGGGGCTCACAGGTTCTTTGTGGGGAGGGGTTTGAGGGGTTTGGGGACCCCTCGAGGTTTCCCCCCCCTCTCCCCTCCCGCCCGGGCGATTTTGGGGTTCGCGGACGCTGGAGGGCGGCAGAGGAGCGGGAATGGCCGCGGGGGCGGAATTTGGGGCGGAATTTGGGGCGGAATTTGGGGCTCCGCAGCTTCGGGAGGTCGGGCCGGGAACAGGGGTCCCGCTGGGGTCCCGCTCCCGAACTGGGGGGGCGGCAGGAGCGGAACAAGGGGGTGGGTCTGGGGCCGTGGGGGCTCTGATGGGTTACAGGGGGTCAGGAGTGGGTCTGGCAGAGTCTGGGGGGGATCGGAGGGGCAGGGGGTGGGTTTGGGGGGTCTGCGGTGGTCTGGATGGGGGGTCGAGGGCTGTGGGGTCTGGGGTCTCAGGGGTTGGCTTCGGGGGTGTGGGGGGATCCGGTTGGTTCTAGAGGGGTTGAGCCCCACGGACCCTCCTGGCTGGAAATTGGGGGTCACGGAGACCCTGCAGGGAAACTGAGGAAGGGATGGTTTGTGGGGGGACCCCCGGGATGTCACCTCGTGTCACCCTCAGTGCCATCTGGACTCCGAGGGGTGGGAGAGGACCCCTCCCATGACCCCCTCAGTGCCAGCACCCCCTGCCCGCTTTGTCCCCTTTCCTGGGGGGGCACCCCAAATAAGGAAGGGGGCAGCCATGGACAGGTCTCTGGCGGCAGGGGGGCTCCCCCACCCCACTGGGACACTGCGGGGACCTCGGGGGTGCTGGGGCCTCATGAGGGGTGATGGAGGAAATGCGGGGGACCCTGTGCTTTGGGGGTCCCCCCGTGTCTGAGGATGAGGTCAGCCCCAGGGGGCTTGGGGCTTTGTGCCCCCTCAGATTTTTCTGCTAAGGAACCTGAACCCCCATTTCCACCAGGGAGGGTCCATCCAAGCTCAGACCCCCCCACCTCCCAATCCACCTCCTGAATGGGCTTCTTCACCTCAATCCCCACCTCCCAATGGAGGGGATCCCCAAAATCTGGGAGCTCAGACAGCCATTTCCTGTCCCCCAAATTTTTCTGGGTCAGGGAGTCCTCAACCCCTATCTCTGTCTTTGTGGAACTCCCTCCACATCTCAGCCCCTCACAGATCCACCTCCTGAATGGGCTCCTTCACCCCAAAACACGCCTCCCCACGGTGGGGACCCCTAAAATTCAGGTGTTCACATAGGCACCTCCTCACAGACATGTGTCCAGGGTGTTTATGGGGGGTCTCTGCCCCACAGCAGGGTATCCCTGCCCCTTATTGGGGGCTGGTCCCTTGCCTGCCACCCAGGTGGGATTTTGGGGTGCAGTGACAAGTTGGGGCCTGTCGGGGCAATTAACTGCTGTAATTAGCGTCGGGAGGAGCTGCCCAAACTCTTGGTACTTTCACACGCACACCCCTGCACTCCTCCCCTCCCAGCACCCCAAACCTCCTCCCTCTCCCGAGCATTCCCCCCTGAGACTCTGCGCCCCCAGACTCAGCACTGTTTGAGTCAGTGTTGCCTTTTTAATTGGGGTGAGATGTGGGGCGACCCAGGAGCTGGGGAACCCCCAGGAAGGGGGACTGGGGGGGGTGGGGTGGCTTGGGGTGTGGTCTTGTTTTTGGGAGCCATTCTGGCCCTTTAGAGGGTGTTCTGGATTTGGGATCCCAAGGGTCTGGGGAGGTGCAGCCCACCTGTTTCCCACCCCCAGGAATTTGGGGAGGGGGTGATGCTGCACCTGGGGCACCTACTGGGTCCAAGCCCCCCAATCCCAATGGTTTTCCCTCAAAAACATGGGATCCCCCCCACCTTAAGCACCCACCCCAACCCTTTTAACACTGAATTCACCCCATTTTGGTGTTCTTGTTTTCCCCCCATGTGGGAAGAAACAGGGGCACCTGGGTGTCCAGTGGGTCTTTATTCCCATGGGATATTCCCATGGATTCCCATGGGACCCCGAGGGTCAGCCCTACTCCTGCCTTGGGTGACCCCCAGAAGGGTCCTCACCCCCTCACAGGGATCATGGGGGGCTGTCAAGTCTAAGTGGGTGCTCCTTCCTGGGGCTGCCTCCCCGGTGATCCCAATCCTCCTTCCCTGGGATCTGTTTCCCAGAGCTTTTCCTTTGGCTGGGCATGATGTGGGGTCCCCCCCTGGGCAGTGGGACAGCAGGAGAGGTGACACCAATAACAGAGGTGACACCAATGGCATCCCAACAGGAATGAGAGTCAACCCACCCCTGGGGTTGTGACTCCTGGGACCGGGGGGTGCCATGAGCTCCCTGCTGCCGTGGGTCCCGGGGCGCCTGGGGCTCCTGGCAGTGCCAGGGTGCCGCCAGTCTTCTGCAACACCTGCTTTGATCTCCCGGCATCCATCTTGTTGTTCCAGCCCTCACCGTTCCTGCTCCCAGCCCTGCAATTTCCCAGCTCGGTGGCTGCCAATGGAGCAGCCAGGAGTTTCCAGAGCTGAGGTTTTCCCAGTGGAACCCAGTCCCAGGACAGGTTTGGGGTGAAAATGGCTGTATTTGGGCTCGCATTTCCCTGGTTGGGACTGCTGGGCCCCGGTGCTGGAGGTGCCACAGGACACACGGGGAAGTTGGGATGTTGGGGTGATGGTGGCCAGTGCTGGGTGGGTGACAGTGGCCAAGACCGAGCAGAGTCTTGGCCTAAAGTCCAACGTTTGGTGGGTGATGGTGGCCAACACTGAGTGGGGATGTCCCTCCACGTTGGGGTGGATGGGTGCTGTGGTGTTGGGTGGGTGATGGTGGACAGCAGTGGGTGAGGGGTGGTGGCCAGCACTAGCTGGGTGACAGTGGCCAACCTTGGGCCCTCGGCTTTGCTCCTGGTACATTCCCATCCCGGCAAGTGCTGGAGCATCTCAGATGCTCCACCTTGGAGTTCAGGAGGGATTTGGGAACTGATCCCATGTCCCAGTGAGGTGTCTTTACCCCTGGTGGCAGGGTGGGGCAGGGCTTTGCTGGCCCAGCAGCTGCTTGGGCAAGTGCTGGGCTGGCTGCAGGGCAGCAGCTGGGGCAGGAGCTGGTGCTGGAGCCACCCTGGGAACTCCTGGCAGGAATGCTCTCCACCCGGGCTCCAACAGGTTCATTCCGTTTTGGGGCTGATCTGCCGGTTGCGTAAGGTGAGGAGATGCAGCCACCGCCTTCTTCCGTCACTTCAAACCGCTTCTCTTCTCCAGCTGGAAAACTGGGGA